AGGATCCGGGGAGACCTTAGAGCAGCTCCAGTGCCTAAAGGGGCTGCAGGAAACCTGGAGTGGGGCTTTGGACAAGGGCCTGTAGGGACAGGCCAAGGGGAATGGCTTTAACCTGCCAGAGGGGAGACTGAGATGAGCTCTTAGGCAGAAGCTCTTCCCTGTGAGGGTGCTGAGGCACTGGGATGACTTGAACAGAGAAGCTGTGGCTGCCCCATCCCTGGCAGTGTTCAAGGCCAGGTTGCATATGGGGGCTTGGAGCAAGCTGCTCTAGTGGAAGGGGTCCCTGCCTGTGGCAGGGGTTGGAGCTGGATGAGCTTTAAGGTCCTTCCTAACCCAAACCAGGCTGGGATTCTAGGAATTGCTGTGGGCACATGGCAGCATGGAAGGTATGCTGTGGGTGCTGATTGCTGATATACCACAGGACTCAGAGCAGGAGCAGGACTGTTCCGTGAGAGTTTTGGTCCTCAGAAGATACCATGGTGTACAGAAGCAATGATGGACACTGTGACAGAGAGTAAGACCTCTCTGCCTTGTTTATTAATGGCATTATGGGCAGCATTCTGCAGGGAATGCCCTAAGTGCTGTGTCCTAGAGCTCTGAACATGCTGCACCAGCAAGCGGGGGAACGGCGGCACATCATTAATTTGGGAGCATGTGTTCACTTTCTGGTGAGTTATTATCTTGTCAGAGGCTCAATGGAAGCAAATGGGTAGGAGGAGGCAGAAGGGAGACGAGTCAGGCCAGGAAAACCCGGAGAAGCAAAGGGTAAAGGCAAGAAGGGAGGAACATGGATGCAGGAGGCATCTGCCGTCCTCATCCATTCACACTGTGTGGGACCCCAAGTCCTATATAGCATGTGATGGTTTACGCCATCCAGGTGGATTCAGGCTCTGGTTTTCCATCTCTCCAGCTTTCACTGGGTTAGTTCATCATCCTCAGCTGCTGAGCAAGGATTACACTTGTGCCTAGTCCATTTCTGGCCTGTATTATATTATTAGTATTAATAATAATAATGATGGGTGCTGGCTGTGCTGGTTTTCTAGTTCCTGAGGAGATGAGAGCACTCTCCCATTAATTCCTGCAATATTTCAGCTCCTAATTGTGCTCAAGCAGAGGCAGCCTTGAACAGTTCCCACCATCAATTCCAGCTCTGGAGGAGCTCCTGGAGCTGCAGGGCCCTGGGCCAGAGCATCCCTGAACATCCCTGAGCTCTGGGTGCTTTTGGAGGTCGGGATGGAGGGAGCTGGGTCCCCACTGCATTGCTTTAGCTCTAGTTTCAGAGGGGTGGAGGGATGACTGCAGTGCAATCCCAAAGGGATACATGTGAGGTGTTGGAGAAATAATCCCCATCCAAAGCCCACCTAGGGCTTGCCTTGCTCCTAAAACCAGGGAATTGAGCTTCACCCAAAGCAGAGACCGTGTTTATCAGCCAGCCCTGGGTTTATCCCAGGTTGTGTTTGCTGAGCCCCAGCCCTGCTCCCTGGGTCCCATCTATTTGGGTTTCTATTTCTGGCAGTCACTAATGAATGAGATTTGTCCAGCTGTCAGGAAGACTTCCCATTATAAACAGGCAAGAAAGCAGAGGCCAGGGAGTCGAGCTGTTGGGCAATTACTCTGTGGCCATGCCTTTGTCCTTTGGCAGCTGGAGCAATAAGGCAGTGAAGTGACTTTCTGGACCCAGTTTTCCTGCAAATCCCCTTATGCAGAAGGGGATGGAGGGACACAGCAAGTGGCTTCTTCACCTGGTGTCCTCAGGGCAGGAATCACTAATGTCACCTTATTCCTTGAGATGCTGTAGCCTGCACTAAGGAAGCAGGATGTGGCCAGCATCTCATGCAGGAAGGCCTTCCTAATGCTATCATCGTTGTATCTGATTGTGCAGGTGTCAGCCCTGGCTCAGAGCATTCCATTTTGGTATGGGGTGGGCTCTGCACACCAAGGTCCATGGGCAGCAGCTGAAAACGCAAGGTGCCAGACTCCAAGCCCTGAACTCTGTGCTCTGCTGCTTACTATGTGCGTATCTCAGACTCCAGTACAGGCACAGAGAAAACCTTCATCTCTCAATTTTCGGAGCTTTTGCAGGTGGAAAGCTGACCCTTGCAGTTACTTTAATGAAGTCTTTTGCCAGGGAATGAAACACACTCGAGCTGCTTTGCTCACACATCAAACTGGGCCCGCAAACTACAGCTTGGCTATAGAGAGACCTAATTCTTGCTGTGTGTGAGCTGGCTCCGGAACACTCAGGGAAGAGCCTTTGGGTAGTTGGGAAGCCGAGTGGTATGTGAGAGTTTGGAAGCAGAGTGTTATCTGAGCCTTTGCACAAACCTGACTCACATTTGCTCATCGGAGCATCTGAAGGCCACCGGCTGTGGCGTTGTTTTATCAGCAGGCAGCGCTGTGCTACAGGGAAGCTGATTCTGGGTCAGCTATAAAAGGGATGACTTTTCCCTCCCCTCTCTCCTTTTGCTGCAGCAAAGTGCTGCCAGCCCGATGGATTTAACGCTGGCATTTGTGTGGCTGCAACTAATTTTGGGGTAAAACCTTCATATGCTGCCCTTCAGTTGTGCTGAATGATGAGCTCAGCAGCTTTGCCTGTCAGGCCCTCGGTGGGGTTGGCGATGAGGGTGAACATCATAACTCATCATATGGGATTCACAGGAAAAGCTGCTTCCCCCCTTCCCGAAGCTCATGGGGTTGGTCTGGAATGGTGGGATCCATGTGTGTGGACACAGGGACCTCAGTTCAGTGGGTGGGCGAAGTCCCAGGGTTCCCATAAGGTTTGCTGCAGGGCAGAGCCAAGCTGTGATTTCCTGACATTTCATATCCCTGCTATATGTGTTTTAGAGACTGTTACTTGGGTATGCAGCAGTAGAAAAGGTGTATTTATTTTAGAAACATGATTCCCTGGCTCCAGTTAAAGATGATGTTAAGTCCTACCTTTATGGGTTGAATGGATCTCTACTGCCAGTGCAAGTACCACAAGCAACTTGTGACTCATGAATACAAAGACATTTTATCTTGATATCAGTGACCATAATGCAGATCATGGAATAGGAATTGGCATCCTGCACACTGCAAATTCCCATGTCTAGGAGATGCTGTAACAGAATAGCTGTCAGTGTTGTCATATATCAGCTGGATGGACAGACTTCGCTTGCTCCTGATATGAGTGGCTGGAATATCAGAATCCTTCTGTGATAGAGACCTGTGAGGGTGCTGAGGTGCTGGCACAGGGTGCCCAGGGAAACTGTGGCTGCCCCATCCCTGGCAGTGTTCAGGGCCAGGTTGGACACAGGGGCTTGGAGCAACCTGCTCTAATGGAAGGTGTCCCTTCCCGTGGCAGGGGCTGGAACTGGATGAGCTTTAAGGTCCCTTCCAACCCAAACCATTCCATGGATCTATGATTAGGGCTGAGCATCTTTGCATTAGTTTGGGCTATCCCGGCTGCGATGCTGAACAATCCCAAACCTGGGACTGCAGCAGCAGGATCCCAGTGGGTGCTTATTGCAGGAGCTCACCCTGTTGAGCTGTGCAGGAGTGTAACAGAAATCACACCAGGGCTTTGTGTGTTTCCCAAAGAGCCACATCGGTGGGTGGTGGCGTGTGGCCACACTCAGTATTGATGTACCATGTGAAGGGATGCTACAAAAGGCTCAGCAGCAGGATGCGCCCTGGCAGAAGCATCCCACGTGGATAATTTGCATGGATTTATCAGGAGCAAGATGCGCACGGTTCACTGGTCAAGTGCAGCGAGCTGTGGCACATCAGGTAGCCGGGTGGAAAGCCAGGGTGAGGGTGGGATCACCGGGATCCACCGGCTGCATCCCACAGGGACCTGTGCTCGGCCTCTGTGCCATTGGCACTCACTGCTGGCAACAGCTGTCCAGAGCTAATTTATTTCCTAATGCTGCAGCGATGTTAATTTATAAATTACACTGGTAATTCCAGCTATTATTAATTTCAGATGGTGTAGGGCAAGCCAAATTAAAATATGACACCAATTGCCACACATATGTACCAAGGACTAGCGTTTAAAATTTATAGGAATATTAAGTGTGACACCGGTCCTGGAGATGCTTTGCACAGTAATTACAGCATCTCGGCCATCAGTGGGAGATCTGGTAGGGAGATGGGAACAAAAAGAAGGGAGAAGGGAAAAGTTGTCCGTGCTGTTTGTTCCTGCTGCGTTTCCTCGGGATGTGGATGTGTTCTAGCTGCCAGCTTTCTTGGTTGAAATCTGTGCTTTGTTGTAACACCGCGATCTCCAACCGGGAGACTGTTGTGGTCCAACACTGTGGTTTTCCAGGGATGCTTCAAAGTGAAGCAGACTCTTGGAAGAGAGGGGGCTGCGTCTGTGTGGCTTTGAGCCAAACTGGAGGGAAAGGGGAACAAGCCCCATGGGATGAGCCTGGAGCGGTCATGGGATGAAGTGTTTCAGCTGAAGGGAGGTGTTGACACCGCAACTAATGGGAATAAAGTGGCTGTAAATGAATTGAAGCTGAAAAATTAGAGATGGGTGTCCATGTCTGAACACTGTTTGAAGGGTCTGAACTCTTCCATCCCTGTAAGTGTTCCTTTACCATGTAGCCAAGGCCCTCAGTGACATTGGTTAGTGGTGGTCTTGGCAGTGGTGGGGTAAAGGTTGGACTTGATCTTAAAGGTCTTTTCCAACCTGGGTGACTCTATGATTCTATATGAACCCACCAGGAGGTGGGATGTACAGTTGCCAATAAGAGATAATTTCAGGTCATTGTTGCAGGGTGCATGTGGAGATTGGTGCAGGTTTGGTGAGGACCAATTTGCCCACCCTCGGGACATTGTCTCCAGCAAGTGATGCTCTTAGTGGGGTCAAAGCCACCGCAGAGGTCTTGCTTGGGAACACCTTTCTGGCAGGGGTTTTGTTGGGATGGTGGAACACATACAAGGGTTGGGTGCTCTGCGCAGATAGAGTTTTGCCATGCTTCCCTATCACTCATGGCCCTTTCCCTTTGTCCCTGCAGCCGTGGGCTTCATCAGTGAGGATGAGTACCTGGAGATCACGGGCATCACACGGGAGCAGTCCGGGGAGTATGAATGCAGTGCCTCCAATGACGTGGCAGCGCCTGTGGTCCAGCGAGTCAAAGTCACTGTCAACTGTGAGTAGGCAGGGATGGAGTTGGATGTGCCACCCTATGAGGGGATGGGATTTGGGAAGCAGGAGCAGCAAGAGTTTATTTGGACAGGTTGTGGTTTGCCCTTTTCCCCCCCTTCTTTTCAAGCTGCTTTTTTTCCCGTCACCTCCTCCTCAGCTGTCTCCATCAACCTGGGTTTTCCACCCATGGTGAGATGCTGTGCTGATAACCTCTGGGGAGAGGAGAGAAGTGAGCAATAAATAGGATTTTTTTTTTCCATTACAAAGAATAAGAGAGAGAAAGAAAGAAAGAGAGTGAGGAAGCAAACAGCATATTTCATGCTCTGATAGAGCTGAAGACCCTCCTAAACCCCTTTGTGGCCCCCCATTGCTTAGCACAAGGACACACATGGTACCCAAGGGATGGGGACTCCAGTCCTCAGAGAAACCATCACTGGTCTGCAACGTGGGGTCCTCCATGAACCCCAAACCCCTTGGACAGGAGCATCAGGGGCTGAACATGGGCTTGGAGATGATTTTGGCCCCTTCCTAAGTGCAGAGAAATGAAAGGGAACTTGAGGAGCAAGGGCAGAGGGTCAGATGCCCCAAGGTGTTGACCCAGGTTTCCCATCTTCCCCACAGACCCACCGTACATCTCGGGTGCAAAGAGCACTGGGGTGCCAGTGGGGCAGAAGGGCATCCTGATGTGCGAAGCTTCTGCTGTCCCCTCTGCTGACTTCCAGTGGTACAAAGATGACAAAAGGTAAGATCCTGGGGGACAAAACTGGGTAGGGGACCTGGTGTGGGAGCTTCCTCAATGGGGCCACAATAACCAGTTGAATTCCCAGTAACCCTCAGCACAAGCCAGGTTGGGATGCTGGTATACTGGAGGGTTTTTTTCCAGCAGCCTCTTTCATCCAGACAGGTTTTCCCTCCCTGTGCAGGTAGCACAGGCAGGATCACTGCTGCCCGTGCCTCTGTTTTAAGGTAAATCCCTGCTTAGGTGAAGCATAACATCCGAGAGTGATATTGGCAGCACAAATCCAAGCACTTAGGAGAGGATGAAATCCCTGTCATCTTTTTAAACACTTTAGCCAGAAGGCAGAGTCAGCTCCTTGCTCTTGGAAAGGCAAAAGAAATGAGGTGTTGAGAGACGGGGTTTGCACAGGGATGTGGCTTGGGAGCAAGCAGAACAGGGAAGGATCCCGCTCTGGAGCGGATGACCCCAGGCAAAGGGTTTTAACCCTTTTGACATGGGTTATTGGTGGGATTTGGCAGTGCTGGGGTAAAGGTTGGACTTGATGGTCTTAAAAGTCTTTTCCAACCTGGCTGATTCTGTGATTCCATTTTTCCATTGCTTCTCCCTGGGAAGCCCGGAGGGGCTGTAGTGTGGCTGAACACAGCACAAGCCACCTAGGTCACTAAAAAGAAGCATGTTTTAACCAAAAAAGATGCTCCAGGAGCTAGAGGAGAGGTTGGAGCTGCCTTTTTGGGGGAGGAAAGGAGCAAGAGGAATGTAAAAGCAGTGGATGTTTGCGTGGCAGATGAAAGGCTTTACTCAGAAGTAGGTCACATCATGAGGGCCTGCAAAGCAGATGGGTGCTCAGAGTGTAGCAGGGGTGAGAATGGAGATGCAGCACCTCCTGGGAGGAATTAGCAAGCAAAAGAGCTGCAGGAGCTAAGCAGGAGGGGGACACCGGCTCAGGGATGTCAAAGCACTTGGGTGATGCTTCAGGTTTGTGTCAGCTGAGGAATGCCTCCCTGCTCCATGGTCCACACAAAGGCATGGGTGCTGTGGCAGGGTGAGGGATGAAGGAAGGAGCAAGAAGGCACCCCACAGAGCAGGGAGGACTGAAAAGTCCTTGAGGCTGGTGTAAGTGGGAAGCCAGGAGCATTTCCCATATTCCCTTCCTGGGCATGGGAGCATCCCTCCCTCTGCATGGCTTTTGGGAAGCCCCAACCCCTTCATCAGTGACTCTGATGGATGCCCCTGATGGGGATGGTGTGGGCTGGCAGCTAAGGGATGAGGGCCAGCAGAGCAGCATCCATCTCCCATATCTCTCTCAATACCTTCTCTTCTCCCTCCTCATCCCTGATCTTTGCCCCAAGCTCTATGTCCCCACTCACAGGCAGGACCAGGGGATGGCAGGTCATGGAAAACACCTGGTGCTTCTCCTCCTGATGCCATCGCAGTGACCCTCTCCCATTCTGCTTTCCTCCCAGGCTGGCTGAAGGTCAGAAAGGACTGAAGGTGGAGAACAAAGCCTTCTCCTCCAAGCTGACTTTCTTCAACGTCTCCGAGCAGGACTATGGCAACTACACCTGCGTAGCCTCCAACCAGCTAGGAAACACCAACGCCAGCATGATCCTCTATGGTGAGTAGGGCTGAGGGAGATGGATGGGGAACAGCTTAACAGGGAGACCACCAACATGAGAGACACGGGAAGGGTCTTCCTTGTCTTTTGGGGGAGATGTGCTGATCTTTTCTGCTCTGGAGCACGGGTTGGAGGTCCTGGTAAGCTCAGGGGAAGTGGAAAACCTCCAAACCTACCTCCTGATTCAGGTCCTCTGTCTGCCAGTGTTGAGGTGTTTGGGATCTTCTGTCAAAGGCAAGTTAGGACTTGACTGCAGGTTTCTATCTTCTCACTGTGACAAATACCAAGGAGAATCTCTGTTTAAAGGTTCCCAGGGCTCCCCCACCTTCAAGGTCATGTCTTCCCCTCCTGCCAAGCAGGTATATTCTTACTGATGGTGCCAGCGGGAATGGAAAGGTGCAGAGGGCCAGGAGATGGGAAGGTGTAGAATGCAGGAAGGAGAAGAACCTATGTACCCTCATCTAGGGACTGATTTCTCTGTGTACCAGAATTGGGATGAGAGCAATGCATCCATCTGATACCGCTCATGTCCAGTAATTGCTCAACATGTATCAAGCAGAGCCGGAGCAGGGGCCATGATCCCCAGATCCCTCTCATGGCCATCAAGAGCTGAAGGTGGACATCAGACCTTGTCTCTGGCCACTTCCACGGGGATATTTCCCTGCCGGGGATATGGGGTGAGAACCATATGGGAAAAGCAGGGCTTGGGGACCTGTGCCCTCTCCCAAAATCCTCTCCCATCTCTCCTTGCCACCCGCGTTGTCTTCTCCTTGTTATTGCATGGTCAGGAACAAGCTTCGTCATTCCAAAGCCATCGATGGGGTGGCTCAGGGCTAGCAGGCTGTACTCTCAGTGATGCAAAGTACACTGGGATAGTGGCATTCCCAAAGCACAGGTTGGGTTGTTAAGGTGCTGGAGCAGCACAGGATGTATATGGAGATGTTGCGAAGCAACATCCACTTCTCACCATCCTTGAGGAGGGGCTGGATGTGGTTCAAGGGATGAAGGGGCAGATGGACAACCTGTCTAGTGTCAGTCCTGGGTTTCCCTGAGCTGTGGCAGGGGAGTTTGTCCCATCTGGGATGCTTGGCTCTGTGCCTGCACCCCTGATGCAGAGCTAACCTTGGATGTTCATGAGCCTAACACCCATTTGTTCTCCCAAAACATCCAAGTGATGAACATCAGCATCTCTACCTGCCCATTAAACCATCATTATCACTGCCTAGGAACTCAGTTCCAGCCTTCCTGGTCATTGGTGCCCCAAATAACCCCCTTTCTTTAGGGACAATGGCACTGCAGAGCTGCCTGGGCCTGGCTCCATCCATGCTGCTGCCTGCATAGCATATCCCGAGCCACATGTTCTTCCTTAGCTTGGATGGTTTAGGCTCCCTGTGGGGTTTCTGAGGCTAAATCTTAATTAATGTGTGACCTCAGTTTGGCTCGATGAACCCCCAAAAGGGAAGATGACTTTCTGCTGCTGGCTCTCTGCGAGCTGTTAGTTGGTTTCTAACCCATGGGTGATGTTCTGTGTGACTGCAGTGTCAGGCAGGACGCAGGGAAGCATCCCACTAATACCTAAGCTTGTTTTATGATCCCTCTTAGCTTTGTTTCTATGCCTGTGAATCCCGTCAGGGAACATACTTGGATTCCTTTGATCACCCATCATTTCCATAGAACAATATTGATTTAATAGCATTACTAATTGAGTGCCGCTGGCGGTGATGGCTCTCGAGCTGCCCTAAACCACCATGGACCCGATGTTTTGGGGGACAGTTTTCATAGCATCCCATTTTTGCTACAGCTGAGCGAGTCTTTTGGACATTTCCTCCCCTCAAATGAAGGTTTAATCCAAGCGGATCCCATGACATGAGCTTTTTGGGGGCTGAGTGACAGAGGCTAATGTAGTGTTACATCTTCTAATCCTTCTTTTAATCTCATTTTTCAGGAAGGTCAACTAGTGCTTTATTTAACATGTAGCACTTGTTATTATAGGCCTGCTGCCTCGTGCAGCGGCTCATTTGGTGCTGTCTGGAAGGTGATGGAGTGTTCCACAGCGTTGCGTGGAGTCAGGGAGGAGAGAACAATCCCTCTGCTTCTCCTCCATCAAGTGGTCCACTTCCAGAGACTGAGAAATCCATTTGGGATGTTGCAGGGTTATTGGAAGGGATGGGCCCTGAACCCTGCCAGAGGGGAATAAGAGGAGCAGAAGGAAGAGCTGAACCCCCAGAATTCCCCATATCCCAGCCCCTGTGCCGTGCCCTTTGTCAGGGTACCACCACGGACGTTGCCAGTCTGGGTTCCCACAGTCCCCAGCTTGTCTCAGCTCATGGACCACTATCCCCAGATGGGGGGAACCGTACCCCTAGAGGAGCAGGCTGTGATTTGGGCAGCAGCACCATGCTTTCTACCCCATCTGCTTGTTCTCCCTGGCCCCAGGTCGAGCACAGTGTCTCGAGCCTGCACTTTCCATTGCCCTTTTGCCTTAACTTTCCCTTGTTCTTTAATTTTTAGAAGAGACAACTACTGCCCTGACACCCTGGAAAGGTCAGTAATTTGGGGACCCCTGCTATGCCAAGCGCTCCCCCTCGCTCCGTTTCCCCTCGGGCCCCACCGGCTCCCACCCCAGCTCATCCCAGCCGGAGTTCCTGCCCCACAGCCCCAGTGCTCCCACTGGAATAATGATGAATTAGGGCATTCTTGCTGTTGTGTAGTTGTCCTCCCACCCCTCCTCCTCCTCTTTGCCAGCTACTGTGCCCGTCCAGTGTAGTCTGTGCCTTCTGCATGTCCCCCCCTCTTCTCCCTGTTGCTGGGGTGGAGATGGGTTGTCTCTGGTCTGCTTTCCATGTGTTGCTGTGTAATTGAGTCTTGTGGCAAGTCCTGCCTTCTCTGGGATGCTTCTAGTGCTTATGCTGAGATGCTGTAGGGGTGGAAAGGTGAATGGTCCTCTTTCTGGTGTTATCTGTGGCTTATCGTAAGAGCAGCTGGCTCGGTGTCATCTTGATTTTGGGGTTCCATAGCAATGCAGCTTTATTTGTGATGCCTTGGGATGGCTTAAAGATGCTGGGAGGGCTGTGGAAGTAGCACAGGGACAGGCACATCTTCAGATCTGCCCTTGTGTTTGGCTTCCTGGCCATGGCAGGAGCCAGGATTCAGTGGGAAGCCCCAACCCTAACACCTTGCAAGGTGTCTGTGAGTGCTACTGGTGGGAGACCAAGTGGTTAATGGTTCTTAGTGCTCCACTCAGGCTTTGAAGTGAGGGGATGTGTTGGGGTTTCTAAAGCAGGTTGGGCAGATCTTGTGGGCAGCCCTGCTACATCAGGACCTGCTCTCCCTAGAGCTTTTCCAGCCTAGTATTCCCCTTGGCCAGCTATTTGGGGTGTCTTCATGGAAGCCATTGGGTTTGGAACCCCCACATCCTTTCCCACATTGAGCCATGAGCTCCTCACCCTCTGTGATCCCCAAAGGCATGGATGGACTTGGCTCTTCCTGAGCACCCTCCTCACACCAGTTTGTTCACAAGATAGTGTGGGCCCATGGGCAGAGCACTTTATGGGTGGTGAGTCCCACAGAAGCTCTGTGGAGTTACAGAACACCAAGTTCTGAATGCAGTACTAGCGGCAGTGTCTCTGCTGGGTGGGCAGGGAGTTATTATGCCCCCACACAACAAGGAAGGGAGATAACAGGGTGGTCAGCCCTATGTGCTGACTCACTGGGGCTGGCAGAGTGTGGACAGTGTTGGGCCAAACCCATCTTGTCCTCTACAAGTGTGACTGGAAATGTGGACAGATTTTGGGGGAAGGACAAAGGGCATTGAAAGGGGTTGGTTGGTGGTGATGAGCAGGGGATAGGCTCAATATGGGGTATCAGGACCATAGTGGACTTACGGAGGGGATTATGTCCCAGAGGCTGGGGTTGATAATGGTACGGGCAGATGCGGATACCCCCTGTGCTATCAGAGCCATGACACCAGGAGCCCAAATTATGTGGGTTTGTTGGTTTTCTTTTCATAGAAACATAGAATCAGCCAGGTTGGAAAAGACCTTTAAGATCAGCAAGTCCAACCTTTACCCCAACACTGCCAAGGCCACCCCTAACCCATGTCAATGAGGGCCTCATCTACATGGCTTTTGAACACTTCAAAAGTGTGGTGACTGCAGCCCTGCCCTGGGCAGCCTGTTCCAATGCCTGAGCACCCTCTGGGGCAGGAATTGTTCCTCAGCTCCATCTAAACCTGCCCTGGTGCAGCTTGAGGCCGTTTCCTCTTATCCCATCTCTTGTTCCTTGGGAGAAGAGACCAGCCCCTCACTCCAACCTCCTTTCAGGTAGTTGGGTTTTAGTGGGTTTTATTGGCTCTGTGGTTAACCACGGGGTTGTTCCTCTCCCATCCACAGGTCCTGGTGCAGTCCACGATGGGAACAATGGCGCGTGGCGGCGAGGAGGCTGCGTGTGGCTCCTGGCCCTGCCGCTCGCCCAGCTCGCCCTCCACTTTTGACCTGAGAAGCCGGCCCGCGGAGCAGCGGCGGCGATGACCATGGCCAGCGAGTGCAAGCAGAAGGGAGAGGAGGAAGAACAAGAAGAAGAAGAACAAGAAGAAGAAGATGATGTGTTCACCGTTTCCGAAAATAATCATAAGAATTGAGAGAGTATCCGGCCAGGCCACCTGGGGAGGGGGAGAGAAGCACCAAACCATGCAACAAACTGCAATGAGAATTTGGAAAGGAGAGAAACAGCGACAAAAGCAGAACAAATCCCAGGCTTCCTGCTGAAGATGCAACGCAACTGAGTCTTCTTTTCTTTTTTTCCCTATATTTTTTTTTGGTCTCCCAGGCCTTTTTTCTCCCCTTTTTCGCTGTTCTCTGCCCACAGGGGACAAGCAGGGCCATGGGGCACGGTGCTTCCCACCACCCGCCCGCTCCTTCCCACGGGACCCTCCATGCAGACGTGCCGGTTCTCTTCTTGGCTGAGATTTCCCCGTCTTCTCAAGGACTGTGCCGCCATTTGTGTTCCAGAATATATATATATATATCCACATATACATATATATATATATATATGTATAGATATATAGATCTTCAACAGTTACCACACCACCACAGACAGAAAGGGAGGAAGGAGACAGGCGTCGAGCCACGCGTTCATCGTACCACCCACGGACATTGTGAATGAGAAGGGATTCTATATCATGGTTCATTTTATTAATTGTATTTTCTGATACGAGCCTAGAACTCTTAGTTCCTAAAAAACAGAGATGCAAAAAAAAACGAGGGGGAAGAAAAAAATCAAAAGGAGGAATAAAGAAGAAAGGAAGAAAGGAGAGGAGGAGCGAGCAGAGAGAAGTTGTCAAGCGCCGCGCAGCCAAGGAGGCATGGAGAAGGAGGAGGAGAAGGAAGAAACCTGTGCAAAATCCCCCCAAAACCGGCCCGAAAAGCAGTCTGATGTCTGAACATTTCTTGCCAAGGGCACGGGCAACTCTCGCCACACGTCGAGGCGGAGGGAGACGCTAAATCTTTTTATGGGATATATATATACAGTATATATAAATATACATATATATATATATATAATTTTTCTTTTTGGTTAGCCTTCTAGCCACGGTTCCCAGCTGGGTCCTTCCGCTGCCATTACTGCATGCTGTATATGGAGTTAGGTGTGTATTGGTCCTCAACGAGACCAGCGTCTTGGTCCACATGTCCCCAAACCCCTTCACCTTTCTGCTCTCGGGTCACCGGTGACAAAGGGCCACGGGGGACCGGGGCCCATCTCTGTCGCCTTTTGCCATGGGGCAGGGATAGGGGGAGATCTATGTAGCTCAGTTTTCTATTTTTATATATATATATATATATATGTATGTATATGTGTGTGTGTGTTTGCGTGTGTGTGTGTGTGTATATATATATATATAAAAAACCAACAAAGATATAAGGAAAAGGCGGCGAAGCGATGGGCACCCGGCCACCCCGACCCGTGGGATTGGGAATGTTGCAGTGGTGGGTCTCTCCTGCGGTCACTTTTCCTCCTTTGGGTTCCTTTCCTTGCCTGCAGCTGACAGCGGGGGGCACGCGGGGAGCACGGGCGGGCGGCGAGGGGGGGGCTCTCTCTGCCTATCCATTAAAACGATTGTTCCATGTGGCCGCTCCGTCTGGTTGTGGTGCTCATTGCCGTGCTCTCCCACCCTGGGTAACAGGGAGGGACATGGGGAGGGACACCGGGAGAGAAGGCACCCTGGACCTCACCAGTGACGTGTCACAGGTAAGGCTTTGGTGAGTACATGGGGAGTGTGCGGGGGGGTAGCTCTGCCCTGTTTCCCCCATGCAGGATCCCACTCGGTATCCCAAAAGCTTCCCATGAGCCTCATGGATCAACTGAAGTGAGTCCCATGGGAAGGAGGCACGGTGATGAGGTGAGTGTAGGAAACTGGATGCCAAGCCCAGGGTGAAGTGTCCTGGGCTGGAGTTTGGCTGTAGATACAACTTTCTTGTATCAATCTTGGTGTTTTGCTGATGGTTACTTGGTGCTTTTGGTCTTTGGCTCCGTGTGCTGGTTTTCCTCAAGCTGCTTGGCATGTTCTTGTAGGATCAGAAGCTGCTTGTTAGTGACGGCAGGACGCTTTTGTTGGGGTTTTGATTCCTTGGCCTTATGATGAGTTTGTGTCACCCAAGAGATGCACATGGAGAAGAGGGAGAGAGCAAAAGGCATGGTAAGGAGTTGCCTTGTGACATATAGTGGCTGAGCAAAACTGGTCTGGCTCTTTTCCCAAGGCACAAGGGATAAGACAAGAGGAAACGGCTTCAAGCTGCACTAGGGGAGGTTTAGATGGAGATGAGGAACAAATCCTTCCCCAAAGGGTGCTCAGGCATTGGAATAGGCTGCCCAGGGCAGGGCTGGAGTCAGCAGCCCTGGAAGTGTTCACACACCGTGTAGCCGAGGCCCCCAGTGATATGGGTCACTGCCTTGTTAGTGCTGGGGTAAAGGCTGGACTTGATGATCTTAAAGGTCTTTTCCAACCTTTTTGATTCTAGGATCAAAGGCAAAGTCCCAAGTAAGAGACAGGGTAATGAGGTTGTAGAGACAAGACAGTTGGTCGGTTTCCTGCATCCCAGGGTCAGGATGGCACTGGGAGAAGGCATCTGGCCAGACCAGCCCCAGTATGGGGAGGCTGGAACCAGCCCTTTCCTATGGATGTGGTTTATAGGAGCAAGCATTGGAGCCAGATTTGCCTTCTGCAGCAGATGTACCTCCATCTCTCCCAGGGAGAAAGGTGGTGGAGGGCTTTGTGCAGCTCTTGGGGCCGCCAGGACAAGTAGAACCAGCCTGGCAGCAGAGGCAGTGCTTGGGGGGCATGGGGAGTGCTCATACTCATAATGGGGATGGAGGTAATGGGGCCGTCTCCTTCACCTCTCTGTAACTGTCAACTTTTCGGTGCTCTAGGTGAGAGATCAAGGAGTGTGATGCCAGAGGCTGAGGGACAAAGAGCAAGTTAAAGACTGAGAGCAAGGCTGCTCCGTGGATGTATTTCTGTGTGTATTTACTGACATAGGTACTGGTGTCACTTGGTGGTGAATAGGGTGAATATACACCCTCCATCCCTCTGGACCTAGCAGCTGAGACCCTTGTCCTTAGGCGCAAGTTGGGTGTTGTTGAGGGCCAGGGAGGAAACCATCCAAACCAGGAAGGGAGCCAGTGGGCAACCCAAGGCCAGGGACATGTGGAAAGGGGCTGCGCTACATCCCTGGTGCTGGGTGATGGTGTCAGTGAGGTGTGCTGGCAGATGGGATATCAGGCTGTCCATAGGTGTTTATCTCCCATGGAAGTTGATCCATTGCTAGATACCCAACAAACTTGGCATGGTAAGATGGGAAGCAATAGAGAGGCTAGTAGTCCTAGCTCCCTGATAGCAATTTGGTTTTGGAGAGGCTCAAAGCACAGAGGGTTTCCCATGGTAACACTGAGGAAAGCCTTTCGGGTAGAGGAGCATGGGGTCAGGATGTAGCTCATCCAAGGCAGGGAGACTTTCTGCCAGGCTCATACACCACAGGGACAGCAGTGTTTGGGACACCCGGGAGGATGCACAGTGTAGGGCAGCTCACTCCTTGCCAGATCCCTTTCCTGAGGAAGCACTTACCTTACTGCTGGGATCACTCAAGGTTTAGGGGAGCTTGTTGAATGTTTTCTCCCAGTAGATGGGGTGGAAACATGAAGCATCCCCCGGGGACTATCCCAGCCCCATGTTTTTAGGGTGAGATCATAGCTGCGCTGGGGAGCCAGCTTCTTCTGCTCCCGGTCCTTGTGGTCTTAGTCCTTTGATGAAGACTTTTTGTCCATGTCACACACTGTCAGATCCCAATGGGAGCAAACCACCCTTAGGAGTGTGTCGTCCACAGAGACTTTGTGGGTAGGTTTAGTTTTTGGAGCAGGTCTTGTTAAGAGACAATGGAGAAGACGCCAGGAACTGCTCAAAGGAAGCTCCCAACTGAGCAGCTTCTGCAGAACTTAGGTGAGCCATAAGAGCAAAGCTGGTCTTTACCCTGCAGGGTCTCCATCAACAGGTACGTGTGGGCCCCAGGGGAGACACATGGGATGAGGGACACTTGAACAGCCCCTGGTTGGGATGGGGGAGGTCAAAGCATCCATCATGGTGTTTATGGGGTCCATGAAGCAAAGCCCCGAAGGTACAAAGTTGGTCAAACTTTATTGATACACTGCACAATCACAACCATCTCTTATTCTTGCCGAATTAGAAAAGGTTACAACTACAATGTAACATGCACAAATCTCAGGTAGTAGAGCCACCCTTGGAATACAATGACGGAAACTCAAGACTGGCCATCACGGCCATCAGCCGGAGAGACCCGGGAGCCACGTTCCCCCCATCCCGGGTGCCCGGCCACCCCCCGAGCGTCCCAACGGGGAGAGCCGGCCTCCAAGAGCCAACACGTTCCTCACAATGGCACGTTACATGGCACGGGAATGTCAACCACCATCCAAGGCAGAGGATGGGGGAGCCCCAACCCAGGGAGGAGGAGGAGGAGGAGGACTGGGCATGGGGTGGCCCCGGCGCCAGGTCCGCTGGCATCAGCGTGCATCGTGGTGTCTCGTCGTCACCTCCAATATGCCACTGCCCTTGTGCATCTGGGGCTATGTCAGCGTTTACTGTGGGGACAGGGACATATGGGGCTGGTCGGGAAGGGGCACGGAGAGGTGGTGAGGGGCCGTCACAGGGTGGTGTGGACTGGTGGAGGTGCTGGGGCAAGGTATCTCCTGCGCCCAAGGGGATTTTTGGAGCTGGCACATGAGAAGGATGTGCTTGTCGCCGTGCTGGCTGAAGATGGTGCCACCCAGGGCCATGTGCTAGGACCCAGCTCACTGCTGGAGAAGAGGAGCAGGACCACAGGGACTGCAGGACATGGACTCTCCAGGTCAGCCCTGTGCTGGATCCTCATCCATCAGGTAAGCCAGCGCATCGGGCAGCGTTGGTTTTAGCAGTCAGCCATGGTACATGTTGAACATCCAGGGTGTGGAGGCAGGACCATCCACTGAGATGTTGTAGTTGTTGCTTTCTTTTTGTGTAGGTCCTGTGCTTGTGGGGCTGCATAACGGATGGAGAGGTGGCCCATGGTGGCTTCTGGCTAGAGGGTGTAGCCCTCAATGACATGGTTTAGTGGTGGTCTTGGCAGTCCTGGGGTAATGGTTGGACTTGATGATCTTAAAGGTCTTTTCCAACCTGGTTGATTCTATCGTCTTGTGCGTTGAGGACCATCAGCCCCAGCTTTCTCCAGTAGGATGGCAGAGCAAGGAGGTTGTGGTAGCAGCAAAGTTTGCATGGGAAAGGCAGCGTGTGCATGGTCATTGCTCTTAAGCCATGTCACTTATGGAAGGAGAAGGAAGGGACAAGGTATGGGGAGGCATAGGGCAGGACTTGGATGCTTTGTGTGCTTGCTCGCTGTGTTGTTATAGAGCTGAAGCTCTGTGTCCAGGCATAGGGTCTGGCATTGTAGGTGACTGTGCAGAGGCAGGACAGGAGGGTCTATCCCTGGTGCATTCCCAGGTGGACACAGGGCATTGGGAAGGCTCAGGGCTGCCACCACATACAGGACTGTGGTGCAGGATGCTGTTGGGGCTGTGATTCAGTAGCGAGGGAGGTTATGGGGCCATCATCACGGGTAGCGGGGAGAAAGCAGAGGGTAGAGTCTGGTTGCATCCATTTTGGTGTCCAAGGCATGTAGCAGCAGCAGGGATTGGCAAGTAGCAAGCTCAGGGCGTGAGAGCTGTCCTTGTCCCTGCAGCAAGTGATGGAGCCAGAGCCTCCTCCATAGGGTCAAGTGCATTAGATGGACTTTCTTCAGGCAGGGGCACGTGGTATGTGTGAGAAAAGGCAGAATGTGGATGTTACAGCTCAGAGTGTGCACCCATGTGTTTTCCACCCCTCAAAGAGCAGAGATACTTGGCCAAATGGTAGGAGAGGCCACCATGGGAGAACAGGGAGGTGAAGAGTGGTCGCATCCCCTCTGGGTGCCAGTGTCAGGACCTGGTGTTTTGCTGTGTCATTTAGTGCCTCTGCCCAATGTGGTGGTGTTGTGCTTTTGATGGGCAGGTTGGAAAGTGCTTGGGAAAACACGCCTGGAGGAACCTCCCCAACTGCTTGAAAGGAGGTTTTAGTGAAGTGGGGATTTGTCTCTTCTCCCAAGGAACAAGGGATAGGACAAGAGGAAACGGCCTCAAGAGGTTTAGATGGAGCTGAGGAACAATTCCTTCCCCAAAGGGTGCTCAGGCATTGGAACAGGCTGCCCAGGGCAGGGCTGGAGTCACCATCCCTGGAAGTGTTTCCAAACCATGTAGCCGAGGCCCTCAGTGCCATGGGTTAGTGGTGGCCTTGGCAGTGCTGGGAAAAAGGTTGGACTTAATGATCTCAAAGGTCTTTCCCAACCTGGTTGATTCCATGGTTCTAAGTGCTGGCAGCACATGAGGACGAGAGCCATGGGGCAGGCCCTGACATTGGGAGGGCAGCAGAGGAGTGGACAGGGGTCTGGAGCAAAGAGGGGTGGCAGCCTGGCTGCCCGATCTGGTGAGCAGGAGGTCCCCAGGAGGGCTGGTGGCAGTCCTCAGGGCTCACATCCCTGGGTGACCAGGCTCCCGCCCTCAGGAATGCGATGGTGCTTTGGGTAAGGAAGATGGTAGCTGGGAGAAGGGCTAATGTGAGGGGTTTGACCCTGGTTGTGTGGGCTGAGCCCCTTGGAAGGGGCCACTGAGGGCGCTTAGGGAGGAGCTTTGGCAGCGAGAAGTGACATTCAGGACCAAGAGGGCTGAAGGCAGAGCCATGGGGCTTCAGCCCTTGGGGTCTTTTCGGGCATAGGTGGCTTAGTGAAACAACGAGATGGATATCCCTGGCGACAGCTCCGTGCCTGTGGGGAGCCCCGTCTGTGCCGGACCACGTCCCTGGGGTGACATCGGTGGGTGACAGTCTGGTGGCACGTGGTGGGGTCTGTACAGCATAACCGGCGGCGAGAAGGGCACCGAGACGGGCCCATCCCCGGCTGCTCAGCGCCCATCCTCTGGCGCATCGCCCGCCCCATGGAGAGGAGTCCCCGGGTGCCGTGGGGGGCAGCGGGGGCCTCCCGGGACCCTCCGCTCCCTTATCAAAAGTCGAGGAGGAGACGAGCGAGGAGGGTGGCCCAAAGGCAGAGCCCGGCGCCCGCCCGGGACGCCGCGTTGCCGCCGTCGTGCACCGCTCCGGGGCCTGTGCAGGGGAGAGAAGAAGACAAAGGCGAGCATTAAGGGCAGTGCAGGTGACCATGAGTGACCCACCTCATCAGTGTCCTTCATATCCCACACCCCATGCGCTGGGTGTTCCTGGAGTGTTGCATTCCTCCCTCTTAGGGAGGTTAGTTTATGCATTGTTCGGCGAGCGTTGCTGGTGGTGGTGTTGGGGAGGTAGGCAAAGAGCTTGAGGGATGTTTAGAGGAGGCGTTGTCTTTGTTGGAGGAGGAGGAGGAGGAAGGTGCTTGGTGAGGCCCCATAGGCATGAGAAGGTGGCAGAGGACATCGGTTATTTGGAGTGTGGCTGTGCAGGCAAGTCTTTAGCCGGGAGCACAAGGGTGAGGAAAGAAGTGTGCTGTTGTCTCTTGGTTTGAGTGCTCTTGGCCATTCTGGACTTGAGTCTTGGGGTGGGTAGGATGGACCCCCTGTGGCTGGGGATGTTAAGGGGTTCACAGGCTATATTTGGAGGTCTTTTGGTCCTGGACAGCAGTTAGTTGGTGAGGTGTAACACTTGCAAGCTGTTTGCCATGGGTTAAGCTTTGACGTGGAATGGGAAGGGACAATATTTGAGTTAGCCTCGTGGAGACCAGTTGGCGTTGCCAGGGCAATCACAGGGGGTTGATGTGGGGTTTCTTCCTATCAGACACATGTCTAGGACAACATCGTAGTTTAACCCCAGCAGAAGCCAGGACAGATAGTGGTGGCAGCAGTGAGGAAGAGGAGCAGTCAGATGCCATTTCAGAGGTGCTTGGAAGTGGGACAACTCATTCTCAGCACTAAAGGCATCAGCCTTTGGTGCTGAGCATGAGTTGGAGATGGCATTGGCCAGACATGTGGACTGTCAGGTGCATGGCGATGTTCTGATGTCATGGTGTGAAGGGGTTCTTAGGAAGCAGGCAAGGAGGAAGAGGAGGACAAAGATGATGCAGCCATTGAGGTCTGTGTGTGGACTGGAGGTCTGTTGAATCTCATAGGATGAAGGCTCTTATTTGGGAAGGATTTGGGTAGGTGGGTGCATGTGGGTGCCAGTTGGGAAGAGCCAGGGAAGCAAAGGCCTGGAGAAGAGACCAGGCACAGGTCTGCCCATGCTCCACATGGCATGGAGAGGCAGGAGGAGATGATGAAGGACAAATATAAGGTTGGAACATGGCCGTGGTGTCATGCCACCAAGCCAAGGAGTGTGGTGAGGAAGCTTGGTAGACAGATAGAGTAGAGGCAGCCTGGCCCACGTGGACAGAAATGGATGGACAGCCAGAGAAGGAGGTTCCAGATCCAGAACATCAGGAAGTATGAGGAAATCCAGTGAAGACCAAGCAAAATAAAAGGTGACATCCTAGCAGGAGTCACTATGAATCCTCTGGCTGGGATGTAGGCACTGGTGAGTTGTTGTAGAGGGAGTTAGGAGGACTATCTGGATAGGTAGGACTTTTTCTTTTAGGACATCTCAGCTATCACCTGCGAGCAGCTCTCAATCCACAGCACAGAACCACATCTTTGTGGTGGAGACAACGAGGGAGGACGTAATGATGGAGGAGACCATGCAACCATCAGGACTGGACGAAGCAGATGGGGCTGGTGGTGGGTAGGAAAGGTGGCCAACAACCAACACATGAAGAGATAATGGTGGCAGTGGGTGCTCTTCTTTGCAGGTAACAGGTCGGGCACCCCGGGATGGTCGGCGACGAGAGCTGCGTTTCCAGAAGGGACACAACATTTGGGATGGACTCTGGACAGGTATAAGAACCCCCTCTCTCCCCCTAGCCCCTTCCTTCCAGAGGGGAAGGAAGGGGTTGGGGGGACGGAAAGGGTTAGGGGAGGGGATGGAGGGCTTGGGGTGGTAGGGAGGGGCTTAGAGCCATTAACTAACTCCTTCCTTCCCCATATCCCTTGGGCGTTAGCTTTTCCTACACCTACCCTTCCTATAATAAGAAGTCCCCTCTGGGATGGGATTATGGTGCCTGGTGCCAGTTGACATAGTGCAGGGGTGTCCCTCTGCTCCCCCTCCCTTCCCTTCTTATAAGAGGTCCCATGTGGGATGGGATTATTTATGGTGCCTGGTGCCAATTGACAGAGTGCAGGGTGGGGGGATCCCTCTGCTCCCTATCCCCCCACCCCATTTCCCCTGCCTCTATTCACAACCCACTACACTGATGTCACCAGTCTAATAAAGCTGTGCTAACCCCGAGTCAGCTGCATGAGCACACCCAGAGTGCCACCTGTGCTACCTCAAGTGCCACCTATACTACCAAACCTCCACTACCCTATGTGCCACTTACAACACCCAACCTAATACCTAGACTATTCCAAGTGCCACCAGCACTACCCAACCTAATGTACCCAGCCTAACACCTACACTACTTAAAGTGCCACATACTCTACTCAACCTAACACCTACGGTTCCCCAGCTGCCACCTATGCTACCCAACCTAACGCTCACACTACCTAAAGAAGTGCCACACAAACACGTATGGTTCCCAAAGTGCCACCTATGCTACCCAGCCTAACAACTATGGCTCCCAAAGTGCCACCTGCAGTATCCAACCTCACACCTATGATATCCAACCTAAAATTGCCAAGTATGCTACCCAGCCTAACACCTACACTACATAAAGTGCCACATACTCTACCCAGCCTAACACCTATGGTTTTGAAAGTGCCACCCACACTACCCAACCTAACACCTACAGTACCCAAAGTGCCACCCAGATACCCAGCCTAACACTTATGGTTCCTGAAGTGCCACCTATGCTACCCAAACTAACACCTGTGCTACCCAAAGTGCCAATCTAACACTACCCAAAGTGACCCCTAAATCCCAACCTAACACTGATGTTGTACAACCTAACAATTACGCTTCCCAACCTGATACCTATGCTAGCCAAAGTGCCACCTATACTACCTCAAGTGCCACCTATGATACCCAGCTTGACACCTACACTTCCCAATCTGCCACTACCTGTGCCCCTTAACAACTGCCTGCATCCTTGCCAAGGGGACAACCTGCAAATACCCTTCACTGTGTCCCCAGAGTGTGCCCTTACCTGTTGGGGCCTTCTCCTCGTGCCTGCGTTCCAATGATGTCCTGTCTCTCCACCCTAAAAACTCACCATGACCACCACCAAGCACTGCTAAGCAGTGCCCTCCTGCATGAGCCAGTGCAGGTCTCCTCACCATCCTCTGATGTATCCTTGCACTCAGAGCTGATGCCATTTGGCACCTCGATGGGATGGCATTGTTTCATAAAACCCACTCCCTTTCATCGCCGGCCACACATCCTCCTCCTCTTCATCCTCCTTCTTCCTCCTCCTCTTCTCCTTCTTCCTCCTCCTCCTCCTTACACCTTGCTGCAAACAAAACCAGGGTACCTACCATACAGGATGATGCTGGCATTGGTGTTGCCCAGCTTGTTCGTGGCCACACACGTGTAGTTGCCATAGTCCTTCTCTGAGACATTGAAGAAGGTCAGCGTGGACAGGCGGCCCTTGCTCTCGATCCGCACACCCTCCAGTCCATTGGCTAACCTGCAGGGTTCAAAGCCACACTGATGATACTTCGAGTGCAACACGCCATGCTTCTTGCCCTTCCCACCAGCTAAATCCCACACATTCCCCCTCCAGACTTCCCTCATCCCACCAAGACAAGCCCTGACAAGCTCTCCATCCCCTAACCCGTCTCCCTGCATAAGCTACGCGTCCCACATCAACCCTATCAGCCACCACCGTTGTCTCTGGAAGAAACAACCCACTTAGACCCAGCACAATGTGTTGAACCCACTCTGCCTCCATACACCTTAGCTCTCACCTAGTGTCCTCCTTGAACCACTGAAACTCTGCCACGGGGACAGCCGAGGCCTCGCACTGCAGGATGCCCTTCTGGCCCACCGAGGCGCCCGTGTTCTTGGCATTGGAGATGAACGGTGGGTCTGTGGAGATCCCATGCCATGTCACCCTGTGCCACGATCCCACCACCCACCACCGTTCCCCCGGCCCTTGCACTCACAGTTGACGGTGACTTTAACTTTCCGCACATCGGGAACAGCCACGTCATTGACGGCGCTGCATTCATACTCCCCGGACTGCTCCCGAGTGATGCCCGTGATCTCCAGGTACTCATCCTCGCTGACAAAACCCTGCCCTGGGAGATGGGCCAAACAGATCACACTGTCACCAGTGCTGGGATCTCACCCATAGACCTGCCCTCTTCTGACAGCCCCCATTCTGGTCTCTCATCCACCCAGGAAGGTTGGGACATCTTCAACCCATACCTAGGCACAGCATCTCTACCCTCTGCAACAGAAATCTTTGCACTGCCTTTAGCCACCTCTACGGGGACATAAAACCATAGAATCACAGACTGGTTTGGGTTGGAAAGGACCTTCAGATCATCCAGTTCCAACCCTCTGCAATGGGCAGGGACACCATCCACTAGAACATGTCACCCAAGGCTTTGTCCAACCTGGCCTTGAACACTGCCAGGGATGGAGCATTCAGCAATTCTTTGGGCACCCTGTTCCAGGGCCTCACCACCCTTACAGGGAAGAACTTCTTCCTTATATCTAACCTGAACTTCCCCTGTTTCAGTTTGAACCCATCACCCCTTGTTCTATCACTACAGTCCCTGATGAAGAGTCCTTTGGCATCCCTGTAATCCCCATCTCTCCCACGTGAGATCCTTCCTCAGAACCCTCATCCACTGAGCCCTGAGCATGGTCTCACCTTTCCCGGAGAGGTGTCTCCACGTGACGGTGGGCTCTGGTCTCCCAAAAGCCAGGCACATGAGGGTGACGCTGCTGCCCTCATTAACAGTGATGTCTGATGAGATGTTCACAATCTGGGGGGGAACTGCAAGACACAAGCAGGAGCAAACCTGCTGTCAAACACACCAGCGAGACCTACCCCCATCACCAGTTGGCTGCATCCACCCCATTGCCCTGTCCAGTCACCAACCCAGTGTATCAGACGAGTCCAGCACGGAGGGGTCCCCAGTGCCCAGTGGGGACCAGATACACTGGTTTTCCCCCCAGACACACACATCCAAGAGCCCAATATCCAGCTCTTCTTACATCCTGCAACCAGCCTCATCTTTTAGCATGTTTATTAAAGAAAGCTGTTTAAATTACTGAGCGTCTGCTCCCTTCAATACCATCCATGGTGATTTATAGGACTCTATCCCCAGATACTCCATCTAATAAATAACTTGGCAATCTGCACATCCATAAATAACCCAGGCCCTGGCAAAAAGCAATTAAAGCCCATTCCCTGACGCCGCTTCCCAGCTCTCCGGGCAGTCAGACACAGCTCCCTTGGAGTGACTGAGCCCTGACACTGCTTCTGCAACACCAGGAATACTGTCCCAGTCCCATTCCTAAAGCATACAAGGTAAGCAGACCCGAGGTCACACAGCATCACATACCTGACCCTTGAAACAAGGGTGCTCCCACTGGGAAGAGTCAGAAATCTATCACAGCCGATACAGACACTGCCTGGAAAGGGACATCAGGGGTGCCCTGTTGCTGTTTTAATCCAGCCAACAACTAAGTACAATGCAGAAATTCACTCATCCCTCTTTTTCCCCCTTTCCAAGTCGGATGGGGAGGAGAATCATAGGAGTGTAATACCCACAAGTTGAGATAAGAAGAGTGTTTATAACACCAGTACAATCATAGAATCACAGGGTCAACCAGGTTGGAAAAGACCTTAAGACCAAGTCTACTGCTACTAACCCAGGTCACTGAGGGCCTTGTCTACACGGTGTGTGAACACTTGCAGGGACGGTGACTGCAGCCCTGCTCTGGGCAGCCTGTTCCAATGCCTGAGCACCTTTTGGGGCAGGAATTGTTCCTCAGCTCCATCTAAACCTGCCCTGGTGCAGCTTGAGGCCGTTTCCTCTTGTACCATCCCTTGTTCCTTGGGAGCAGAGCCCAGCCCCTCCTGGCTCCATCCTCCTGTCAGGCAGTTGTAGGGAGCGATCAGGTCCTGAGCCTTCTTTCCTTAGCCGTTCCCCATCACACTTGTGCTCCATTGCCCTTCTCTGGCCCCACGCCAGCACCTCAATGCCTCCCTTGCAGTGAGGGGCCCAGAACTTAACAGTCTAAAATATAAAATAGACAATGTATATAAAATACATTATAATGTATTCTATAATAATAATGATAAGGGAAGTAAGCATGGGGACAGAATATAAAGCTAAAAGGGGATAATGCTCCCTCCCAGCTTCTTGTGCCTCTCCTCACTGGAGGAGCCTGAGAAGTCCTCAGATCAGGGTAAGTACTACTTACTTAGCAACAACTAAAACTTCACTGTGTCATCAGCATCATTCTCAGACTAAATCCAAAGCACAGCACTGTACCAGCTACTGCGAAGCAACTTAACTCTATCCCAACCTTAACCAGAACACCCTATGTTTGCTTTCCCAACCACCTCCCTCAGTGGGACAAGCCACAGACCAGTCTCTGCAGCTAGATGTGCCCTGCAAGGCAGTGAATTGCCCAACACCTTGACACATGAATACAGAAGTACACGGTCTGTTATAGCAAGGAAGATTGTTTAAGTAAGTCCTTCATGGGGGGGAAGCAGCAATCTGGAAATGAAAAGTGTGCACTGCTGGAAAATGTAGTTAACGCTCAGAGTGGTGCCAGTTGACTCCGATGAGCTCTGATGGCCCTTCCTCGCTGGGACTAGGAGATGACGTTATCCCCTATTACCAGCCTCCCTGCACCTCGCTCTATCAGTAACAGCACCTCAGCGGGTACCAGGAACATCTAAAACCAGCCACGTCATCCCATAAAAGCCCTCCCACCACTGGGCCCTTGTCACTCACTCACAAGCCTGCAAACCAGCACTCCTCACAAGCAGTGCTAGACCTAAAGGACAGCATCTGGTGGGAGCCCAGGATGTCTACCCCTGATCCACAAGTCAGCCTGGCTGTCTTATGTGTGCTATTACTTACAGAAGCTCTAGAGCAGGATGAGGGTGATGCAGGACCAGCAAAATCACAGCTATCGCACTCCCCCTAGGTACCCCTGTGGGGTGACACCCTGCTCTACACTCCACGCTACCTGAAAGGCTGTGCCAGCCATGGATGACGGAGAATAAAACCCCAAACACAGCACAGACATTATCTTCTTCTCACATCCTTACTAGATACACGTGCTCCCTGCCAGAGGAAGGCAGGTGGCTCAGGACAACTAAAACCAACTCGAAAACTCGAGGTGCTGCATGCTCAGAACGCAGCCAGGACTGTCCCACTCTAGGCTGTCCCCCAGGACCATCACCGTCTGTCTTCCAGCAATACAGCCTTAGGACAGGGCTACTCTCCCAGGCTGAAAAAGGGGTCACACATGCGGGGGGTGGGGGGTGTAAGCTGGAGCTTCCCAGCCCTCTCCCAGCTCACAGTCAGCATCCCTTTCCCATTCCCTAACTCCTAAACCACACGTACAAAGTGACATGCAGAAACAAGCGTTCTGGACACAGATGCGAACCTCTGCTCCTCCCAGGCACAGAAATACTTCTGCTCCTGAGCAGGAAAATACCACTATCAATACACTCATCAGCCCTAGCCCCCTTCCCTTAGCAAAGGATGCTGACACAGTGGGCAGATGAGGCTTGATACCCTGCCACGACAGCGATCGTTGCCTATGAGGTTACCAGGACTTGGAGAAGAACATCTAAAGACCTTGATTACATTTCTATAGATCCTACCAGCCAAGCTGTTGAGGACAATGGCATCTCAAGGGCACATTGGCTTTGCCTTTAAGCAGGTTTAATCCCATGGGATGAGCGGATGGGAGCCAGGCAAATGCAAGGACACGAGTGCTGGCAGGAGGGACAGATCCAGCACCAAACATGACTCTGCAGCTAAAACCAACCTGCTGTGCCCCATAAACACCATGAGGTGGGTGCAGCCAAAGCACGCACAGATCTGCCCTGACAAGCACATCCTGCCATCCTGCTGTGCCTTGAGATGGGGTCCGGTTGGGATCGGGGTTGGGTGCCAGTCCTAATGCTCTCCTGGCCACCAAAGGCCACAAACAGCCCTACTAATATCTCACAGCCCACCAGCACCATTATGGATGCTGTTCCTATCATTTCCCTACTGACAGCATGCTTTCCTTGGATTCACTTTGTTTCTTTACATTTACTTGCCCTGCATCCCCTACAGAGCAGATACCCGTGACTTAAGACAGTAACCCATAGATTCATAGGATCAACCAGGTTGGAACAGACCTTTAAGATCATCAACTCAAACCATTCTCAACACTGCCAAAGTCACCACTAACCCATGGCACTGAGGGCCTCGTCTACATGGTTTGGGAGCACTCCCAGGGTCGGTGACTGCAGCCCTGCCCTGGGCAGCCTGTTCCAATGCCTGAGCACCCTTTGGGGAAGGAATTGTTCCTCAGCTCCATCTCAACCCCTCCTCGTGCAGTTTGAGGCTGTTTCCTCTTGTCTTGTTACTCTCCACACTACATATATGAGACACAAACATACCAAGAACCAGCGGAACATGCTAACAAGCAGCCAGAGAAGATATTAGCAAGGTCCCTATCCCCCCTTATTCATACTCCTGCCTTCCTTGTAAAAGACTGCGACTAGAAGCAAACTGAATACAGATTAAATCCCAAGGAATCGGGGAGCAGCCCACAGAGGATTTCCTTGACCCTGCATGGTATTAATCACAAGTAACTTAATGCATAATGTTTGCTGGGCCAAAAAGAATGCATTTGTGCTGTAATTTCTTGTTTGCTTGGAAAGCCGGCGAGAGAAATGGAATGTGAAAGCGATGCCACTAAATTCAATAACAATAAGCCTGTGATTTATCTCCTTCCTTTACCGCGCCAAACCTGAACCGCTTGCTGCGGTTCGCTCTCCATCGGAGCCCCTTGCCTCCTAAACCAGGGGCTGCAAATAGCCAAGTCACCCTTGTGACATCCCCCAAACCAGCCAGTCCATGCTCTTCCTGCGGGCACAAGCTCTGCATGTGCTCCACAGCCTCCCCATATGGGGACAAAAGCAACCAGGGAGCTTGGGCCTCGTGTGCTTCTAGCAGACACCCCGGTGCGTGCTTAGGGACAGCCACCACCACCCCAGCCGAGAGCACAGGTCCAGCCCGTGTCACTGGCAATCCCTTTTCCCTGCTAAACCACATGGGAAGAGCCAGCACGGCAGGCATCACTGCGTGACCACTGATTACATGTGATGCTGATGCACACAACCACATGCGAGCTGAGTCATCTCCCAGCTGCTCCTTACATCGATCCCGACTGGAGCCACTCACCGCAGCCCTGGACTATATTTAGCCACCAGATCATTCCTGATGGACGCCTCAGAGTGCAGAGCCTGGCTGAGCACTGCAGCTGACACACGCAACCTGTGTTCCTCCTTCCGCATCCTTGGCTCCTAGGCCATTAAATGAGACTTCTTCCTACACCTTTAGTAGGGTGAGATGACACATGGCTACCTACAGGCTCTACATAATACCAGACGACAACCAATCACCCACCTCTACCCAAGGAACAGGTCCCCACAGAGACCTGGTCTGCCTACAGAAGGGGACGTCCCAGTGGAAAGGTGATAGCCTCCACAGACATCATGGTGCCTCCAGATCTGCATGAGCCTACCTGGTGTAAGAGGGATGGAGCTGTCATTGCACAAGGAGTCACTAGCTACAGAAACCAGCACAAAGGTGCCAATGATGCTGCAAGCTCCTGTTTGGGGCTGATGCCCTTAAAGAAGAAATGCAGGCATGCAAAGTGCCCCCACATCCCACCTAGGGGGCAAGGAGGCAACATGAGGAACTTGAACAAAATACTGCATCTCAGCAGCAAAGATGATCATCTCCC